AGTTGGGAGCAGCACTTCCTCTTCTGCCCGCTGGAACGCCTCTGCTGCAGCTTCCAGATCACATTCATACACTGATGGGACACACATCAGAGGCTATGAGGGGGTTCAGCGTCTTGCCCAGGGACACTTTAGCATATGACTGCTGGTGGATTCGAACCCCCAACTCTCGCATTGGAGGACGACTGCTCTAACCACTCAGTCACAACTGCCCACATTAGGGTTGTTTGAATACAGTGGTGGGCACAACTAACCAAAAAGTTAGCTTCATGAACCCATTTTCCACTAACTAAAAAATTAGCGTTGCCAATGCTAAACCATCTAACTCTAAATTGTCTCTAGGTGTGAGTGAGCAAGTGAATGGTTGTTTGTCTCGTTTGTCTCTATGTGTCCCTGTGATAGACTTGTGACCTGTCCAGGATGTACCCCACCATTCGCACAGCGACTGCTGGATATGGGCACCAGTGACCCCCATGACCCAAAAAGGAAGAACTGTGTAAAGATAATGAATGGATGGTTTACAACATAAATAAAAAAATATTCTACTATTAGCTATTAGCAGATTAGCAGAAATGTGCCCACCACTGTTTGAATTGAATCACTGATGTTGTGAGCTCTGATGTTAATGTCCTGGGGAGATCTTTGCTTACAGAGTCTTTGCATTGTTGACATATATTTCTTGTTTATTTGAAAATTTTACTGTTTACTAATCAATGTTTAATCTTGGATGTCTGGTTCCTGAGTTTTTTTTTTTGGTAATGAAAAATATCAAATTTTACAACATCATGTTGTTAGAAATATAAATGGACTGTACTTATATAGCACCTTTCTATCTTATCAAGATACTCAAAGCACTTTACAACACAATCTGTGCCTCATTTACCCATTCATACAGCACTCTACTAGATCTATACAATGAAAAATCAGTGTTTTATCACGTTCATACACCGATGGGTCACACACTGGAGGCAATGGGGGGTTCAGTGTCTTGCCCAGGGACAGTTCGGCATGTGACTGCTGGTGGAATCGAACCTCCAACTCTTGCATTGGAGAACGATTGCTCTAACAACTCAGCCACCCCAAATATAAGAAACATGCTTCACAATGCACATACTAGGCAAAGACAACGCCAGGAAAGCCGCATCAAAGCTCATAACATTGATGATATATTGAATAAAAACACTTACTGCTTACTGTGTGTATGGCGTGATAAGCTAAAATACCAGTTGGCGTTAAAAAAAAGTCATGCAATGATAACAAAAAATAAACAAGATCAATAAGAATTGCTGCTTTCCCATACAGAGAAGCACAGAGGAAGCAGAACTTTTACCTCAGATTCATGTAGGCACATTCTTTATCTGTGATGTAAACACCAAGGATGCCAAGATTTTTAAATCCCTGATTTTACTCTTCTTCTTCTTTTTTTTTTTTTTTTTTAAAGAACACCATTAGCGCAAGTAGATACAAATCTATGGTATATCTGTTGAAAAAAATTCAGACGGTCATGGACAAGGTCATGGACATCTCCAGATGCAGGAAGAGGGCCACCTGCATCATGAAGGACCCCACTCACCCAGCACACACACTTTTTGCCCCGCTCCCCTCAGGCAGAAGGTTGAGGAGCATTAAGTGTAGAACCACTAAACTGAGGAACAGCTTCTACTCTGAAGCTGTTAGACTCATGAATCCCTAACCAGGATAATTACTGTAAGAAAAAACAAACAAACTGTAATGCCACTTTAATTGGTGATATGTAACTTATCTGTGCTACTGATTATCCATGCTGCTGATCTTATGCTGCTGACTATCTCATGCTGCTGTATTCATTTATACCCATCTGCTTACCACAGACTCATGTTTGGCTGCTGTTATTACACCATATTGTTTTACATTATTAGTGTTTGGCGTATATCTTAGATCTTTTAGCGTACCGTTGGCGTTCATTTAGCGTATATCTTAGGGTGCAATCACACCAGCCCTGTTTAATTTGTTTTAATCGAACTCTAGTCCGTTTGCCTAGAAAGTCCGGTTCATTTGGGGAGGTGTGAATGTGCACTGTAACTCTGATGTGGACCAAAAAAGCAAACTGGTCCGCTTACCTACCTAGGTCTCGGTTCGGTTGAAGTGAACTGTAGCGCAGTTCGAATGCAGTGTGAATGCAAGCGGACTGGAGACCGCTCCAGGAAGTGGACTACAGCGCAGGGCATTCTGTGTAAATACAACCAAAACAAACGCGCATTTCTCTTACCTCATATGGAGCCGTCTCAGACGCCTTGTGTGAAAAACAACATTCTCCATGGTCTTCTGCCTCATCTTCCGCTCATGATGAGTCCAGTGTTGAAAAATGTTTGTTTGGCACATGAGCCACAGACAAAAATCCTAAAACTGCTAAAATTTGACGCCACTCCATTTTAGCTTTTAATTCCAGAAGTGTTGTAGTGTTGCAAGATTGAATTAAGGGGAAATAAACAGACACATGAATCAGCTTCAGTTCTCCATTTTACTTTTCACTTTCACTTTCCTTTCTTCCTCCGTCACTAGAGCATCTTTTAAACATACGGTCTTAGACCGCCCACTGGTGTCCTTTTTATGCAATAGCAATTCGGTTTCAGTTCAGCACAACACAACAAGAAGTTGCGCTCAGTGTCTTCTTCAGAGGTTTTCGTGTTGTTTCCTTCAGTAGTTCTTGGTGCAGAGCCACAACAGGCGATGGGGGGAACAGGTTGGCTCGATTGACTCAGTTCAGTGTGAATGCAAACAGCACCAGCTGAAAACGTAAACAAATGTTCCGAATTTTGGTCCCCAATTGATCTGAGTCTACCGGGTATTAAAACGACCTTATATCTTAGATCTTTATTTAATAATAATAATAATAATGTCATCACAATGTCAGCACTGTATGT